AAAAAAAAAAAAAAAAAAAAAAAAAGAAAATCAACAAACTGAATGTATAACTATACTAAGAAAATTATATCGACTGCCATCAATTAAGTTTTAACGGTGAAGTGTTACATTATAAAACATGCACTATAAAATCTAAGTGGGTCAAAGGAGAAAATTTTTTTATGATTGTAATTTTCTAGATTTCCACCACATCCTGATAAAATTTCAAATGAAGCCTGATAAATAATATCTATCTCAAATGACCAATGCCATATTTGGTGGTGAAACGTTGGTGTCATTTCTGTTTAGAGGAAAACAAGTGAGAATTATCCATCATCTTCATTTTTGAGTATTGTTTGAGATGTTCTAGCCAACATAAGAATGGAAAACAAGAACTAAATGGGATTAATATATCTATAAAAAGGGCAGAAGCGATCATTATATGTAGATGTTATGAATGTAAAAGCCTAAGGAGAAGGGATAGAAAGATACAATGCCATGTGTCAGGGATTGGTTTCAAAATGATGGTGGTGGCTGTCTTTGGTTAAGATCTTTTATATGCCAAGCACTGTGAGGGGATATTATAGAGTTGTTTTCATTAATTCTGGCCACCAACCACGAGAGAGATTTTGAATGACAGAAGTTAGTGGTGGGCTGGAATTCAGCCCCAAGTCCTACTTAACTTTAAATCTGATTCTCTTAAGGACTCTACCATATATGGCCACAAACCATGCTCACACATATACTACCTGTACAGATATTTTTTAAAAAACCAAAAGTATTTCTAGACATTAGAACTCTTAGTAAGTATGATGGAGTGTTATCATTTTCATGCTAAAAAGTAAAAAGCATGTCAAAATAAAAAACTTTACATCAGTATAATGAACACAGTACTCTTTTCTGGTGCCCTAAAGAGGATGAGATGTTGATATTGTAAGATCAATTACTTTCTCTCTAGTTATAGGTTTAATGAAGCTGAAATATATTTTTGAAATTTCCTTAAGATCCATATGGAAGAATAAATGGATAACATGGGTTGAGAGAAGTGCAGTTTTGAAAGTGTGTTTATTTGCGGAAGGGCACTTATACCACCACATATTCCTCGTCACACCTACAAGAATGAGATTCTCGCCCAGAACACAGACATGGCTCAATGCAACAGAATTATATCCGGAAACCACTCCATAAAGTGTGATGTAAAGTTGTAACAAGCATATATACTTAACATTCCATAATGAAATGAAATCTAGAGAAGTTAAATAATTTACGAATTCATAGCTATGTGTGTATGAAGTGTTGTATGCATAAACTCATGCATTGCCTAACAGTGGGACCACATTTTGGAAAATGGGTCTTTAGGTGATTTCTAGCTTATACAAACATCAGAGTGTATTCACACAAGACTTGGTAGTACAGCCCACTACACTCCTAGGTGCTGGGGTGTGTACTGTGGTATATGTGGCTTGTTGTTTGAATTGTTGTGCAGCTCATAACTGTATATCTTTGTGTGTGTGTGTCTGACTGCAAGTATGTGCACTTAACAGATCTTAACATTAGGATGGCCTTTCTATATATAATACCTATGGACAAATTGGGATGTGATAATGTTACATAATGACCAAGTATTAAAATTCTTAATCAAGTACTTTTACAAGCAAAAAGAAAATACTAATCCCCAATAGAAAAGAGTGCAGAAAGCATTACGCAGTTCATAAAGAGAGAAATGAAAATGATCAGCAAACATAAGAAAAAGATTGTCAACATCACTGTTGATTACAGAATGTGAGTTGAAATGACTGTGTGCATTGCTGGAGAGAGAATAAATTCATATGTACTTCTGAGAAATGATTTGACATTACGTGTGAAAGTGTTGAAATATAAACCATAATTTTTGGTCCAGTAATTCTAGGCACTTTCCAACTGAAACAATTAAAATTATGTGCAAAGGATAATTACTGCTCTGATTTTTTATAATAGTGAGAAATTAGGATCACACTCAGTGTCCAACATTAGGAGGCTATTTAAATAAATCATAGACCCTGTCATGGAAAATATGCAGGAATTTAAAAAAAAATCTTATAAAAAATTTAATAACCTGAAGAAGAGTTTATGATATACAGTATTTTAAGTGGGTAAAAAGTAGGTTATGTCACAGTGTGAATACTATGTGTGTTGTGTGTGTTTAAATCTAGAGAGATATAAGCAAAAATACTAATCTTGATCATCTCTTACTTGGTGGATTTATAAGTGCTTTTATTTTTACTACATATTTAAAAGTGCTTATGATTTTAAAATAAAAGGTGTTGTTTTCACAGAGTAATATCAACAGATGATCATAAAATATATATGCAAAAAAGAAGATGAAAAAAATACACCTTCCGGTATTTATTGCTGCCCCACAGGAGTGCAGGCAATCATTATTTGGTTCTTTGTATCTTTTACTTTACTTTGGGTATGCATTAATTTAATAAAACATAAACACTAAACAACAGACTTTATAAACAAAGAGAGGAAGAAGGAGAAGGACTAAAGGAACAAACTCTGAAAACTCTTTAGTAGAAATGCTGAAGAATATCATGTGTTCATTCAGTCACCTGTTTTAGAATTACTAAACGGCTACTGTGTGCAAGGCTGTCTTTTTTTTTCCACTGAGTTTATTGGTACATTTTAGGTACACAATACAGTTACATTCATTGTTGGGATCTTGTACCTTTACATGATGTATCTTGGTTCTTACTTTTTTCCCATTCTCCTGGCCTCCCTTCACCCCCTCCACCCTTCCCTATTTACAAATACTTTGCATGTTTTCTTTGCTCATACCTTTTCTTTTCCCTTCTTTCCTTTCCCCTCTCCTTCCCACTTCCCCTACACCTTTAGCCCTTCTCTTCCTATTTCACATTATCAATTATACAATTTGAACCTTATTTACACTTTTAGTTTTTCACACCAGAGAAACTATTCAGTATTTACACTTGTGTGTTCTATTTATTTCACTTGAGTATGGCCTCAATATGCATCCATTTAGCTATAAATGACTCTATTTTCTCATTATTTATGGCTGAGTAGTACTCCATTTCATAGAAAAACCACATCTTCTTTATCCAGTCTGTAATTGATGGGCAATTGGGCTGTCTCCATATTGATTTCCACAGTGGTTGCACCAGTCTGCTCTCCCACCAACAATGGAGAAGGGTTCCTTTCTCGCCACAACCTTGCCAGCATTTGTTATTGGTTG